AAGTAAATAGATATAACTAACAAAATTGGGGGACAAAGCTACAGCTTGGCACTTTTTCAACTTTTTCATTTACACAAAGATGCAAAGAATGTGAAGCCGAAGCAGATTTATACACTTTATTCTAAAAAGGAAAATTTTTTGTCTTTTAAACAACTTTACTTTTCAGCTGACATTCCAAATGCAGTTACATGTAGACTTGTTGCAATTTTAAAGTAATAGGTAGCAGTACATAACAAAGGTGGTATCATAGTATTGTATCCCAGTACTGGTTCACTGTCTCACCATCTGCTCAGAACTATGTCCTCTCCCATTACCAGCAAAGTAAATATGTTTAGTGCATAGTAGAAGTATGGAAATCGGGATGCAGCCATCGGTAGTTAATTCTGTGCCATAATTCTGTCGCAGCAGCTTGAGACTAGCCAGCAACAGGGGGGGAAAAAATTGTTCAAATGCTATTTAAGATAACAAGGTACTAATTAGAGCGTTTCAGTGACTCATTCTGTGCCAATCACGGGGTTTATTGGGGTCTGTCCACTGTTTGTTTTCATCACATGCTCCTCCATTGGCCAGGAGGCTGGCACACAGACTGCATCTGCTTTGCTTTGCTTGCACTCTGGCCTTTTCAATTAGTACTTAGACAGGGTGACAAAGCTTTCTGGAGGAAATAGGACACTACACAAGGTGGATCTGAACACAGCTACTCATTTTCTGCTCTTCAGAAACTGCAATGCCTGGACTGAGAATTATTACACTGCATTTCTGCTTTAGTTCTTGTTATGTATATTTACTATAGTGCATAGTACTATAGTGTATGTAATGCCTAGTGTTGCATAGCTAGGATTTTGACTGTTGATTTGAACTCTTTGGCACTTTGCAGGTCATCCTGGCCAGGATTTAGACAGGAAGAAGTTAGCTGTGTCTGAAATCACATATTGTATAGTGGGTATTACATTTGGTTTGAGTGGGCAAAAAAAAAATAAATGTTCTGAATAGTATAAATATATGTAGTATATAATATGGGTAGAATGCAAGTAGGCAGATTTTGACACAGCAACTTTCTGACTTGCATGTAAAATGACCACATAGTAAATAATATAGCCAACAAACTGTCTGACACAAACCAACTCAGCAGTGATCATCATTAAAGAAGAAGGAACAGTCAAATCTTACATTCAGTGATCATCTTTTATTTTTATCTGATGTCGGAGGACAGATAATTCTGAGATAAGTTCAGAAATACCAGAAATAATAGATGTGCAGCAAAGTGCATGGCAACTATTTTATATAATAATAGTGCAGCATTCTGTATAATAATGGGTAATAATTCTCCTTCACAGACTCTGAAAACAAAGACGAATACTGTTGGACTCAAGGATATCCAGTTTATCCCAAGGCTAATTAATACCTCAAAGAAAACTGTGAAATCTCTTTCAAATATTCAATGCCATAAACCTTGTGAACTTTGTAGTTCTTTGTCAGAATTGCTTATTAGCAGCCTGGGAACTTGTAAACATGGCTTTCTTTCCCGGTGGACTGATATAAATCTGTGCGACCTGACTCAAAGCCAGCTAATCAGAATAGAGCCCATCAGTCTCACCTTTTTCCATTTTTTGTGCACAACCAACCCTGATTCTGTTTGTGATTGGTCCATGAATGTACCTTGTAAGTGTACCTACCATGGCTGTTTTGTGAAGCTTAAGGTTTCAAGGGTCAACCCTTAACTCTTTCCCTGCCTTTCCATGTTTTTACTGTTATACGGTAGGGGGCGCTATTATACATCTTCTATAAGAGTACAGAATCTCCTGATCAAAACACAGGCGAAGAAGAAGCAGAAATAAGTGACCACGTATGTAAGCAGATTTATGTGTAAAATAACGCGATCATATAAATCAAAACTGCTCAACCCAGGAAGTGGTATAGGACAGGACAAGTTTTGGGGATATTGATGGACATGATCCTCTCCATCTATGTTTTGGACATTGTTCTGAATCCAGTCTGGACGTAGTATTACATAACTTTCTCAGCTTTTTGTTCAAAATGGACATTTTTGTTCAACTTGTTCAACTTAAAACTCTTCCTAACATTCATACACGACTCAGCATTCCCTTGCAGTTCTGATGTGCAGTTAGCCCAGAGTCTGACAGCTCTTTATTAATGTCAGATTAATGGTTCAGTTATGGGAAAGCTTGAGACCCCTCAACTACATTCACATTCTCATTCATTTCAGACGACTCGGAGACAGATTAATTGGTTGCCTTATTTACATGGCCCAGTGAAATAACCCTGCAGACTTATGATTAACTTCCTGCTTCTGGACAGAAACTGCAGCAAAGCATTTGAACTGCTGTCGCGGTCAGCCTCTGTTAGGTAACTGCTTTTGTTGCTTTTGGTTCGCAGTTGATGGTCACCTTGGAATTCTCCTCCCAATTTCAATGAGGCATATAGAAGATTTTGATTATCAGTGCTGTTTGCTAAGTCAAGCATCATTAGTACTTGTCACGCTGCTACTAGGAAGATGATGTAGACGATAACGAAGATCATATAAACAAATCGTTTTAATGGTAATCCACAAGATGTGGATTAGACAAGATCTAACACACAGGATAACTGTGACGAGTGGGGCGGGGCCGAGAGCCGTGGGAGCGGAGCGGTCGTGACAGGACAGACAGAGTTCTGGGCAGATAGACAGTTCCAGGCAGACAAACAGTTCGGGTATGACCTCCATGATCATTTCAGGATAGACGGACAGTTTATAAACGGCCTCCTTGGCCGTATCGGGACAGGCAGAGAGTTCAGAAGACAGGAGAGGAGGTATGTCGGAATAAAAGTCTATTAAATCCTCTCAGTCCAGCTGCAGCTAACCCTCAGCAGTGGCACAGTGGGGGCTTTCCTCCGCGCCCTCGTCATAATCCTCCATGGCGGGCTTTGTTGCCGGCTCTCGCCCCTGGTCAGACATTGGTTGAGGCTCTGGCTTCGGGGCAATCCTCAGCTCTGTCGCTCCTATAGGCGATGGCTCATCGGTCGTGGCGGGCTCTGGCTCTCCGTCTGCGGTGAGCTCAGGCTGATGTTCTGCGCAGCGGGGTGACGTTTGGCTGGGCTCTGGGTTGGAGTGGGGCTGGCGAGACCGATGGTGAATGGAGAGTCATTGCTCACCAGCACCCACTCCACGAAGGCGGCGAAATCCCCTCGAGGTCCACATCCGGACAGTCATGCGTAAGCTCTGCATGCGGTGTTAAGGCTCGTCTGGTAGAACGTGCAGAGGCAGTCGTCCGGGTAGCTGGTATGTTTGGCGATCCCCACAAAGATTGCCGTGTGGATCTCAAGAGATAGATCCCCCTGCTCCAACAGGAGAAGGAGATATTTGGGATGATGGGTCATAATAAAAAAGATATCTTTCAAAAATGAAAAACAAAACACGGGGACACACACCGCTTAACTTTTTTTAGGTCGGTTGCTGCTAGGAAGATGATGAAGACGATAATGAAGATCATATAAACAAATCCTTTTAATGGTAATCCACAAGACGACGAGGTTCTAACACACAGGATAACATTCAACAATAACCGACAACTAAAGGAACTGAGGAGGGAATTTAAATACACAGACAAGAGAGGGACTAAATGACTTAATTAAATAACACAGGTGAACTGAATGAACTAATCAAGGGAACTAAGGAAAACTAGGTCAAGGGACTGAAACAAGGCAGGAGAACAGAAAAACACAGAAAACAAGGTTCAAACTCTGACAGTACTATTGCTCATACTTGCACATGATAAAATGACTGGAAAAAGCAACCACCCAAAAAAGCAAGTTTAGCACCAGCAAGCAGCAGTCACACTTTATCCAGGAAATATAAAAATCCTAATTAGTTTCTTCCTCAGAAATGCTTTTTTTGTAGCATTCTGAGAGCAGGTTTCTTGGTGGACTGATAAGCTGTGCGCACCGTGTCTCCTGGATGTTGCATTAAGCATCCAATCAGACTGTATTTGGCAGTTTTGCCCAGGTCTTGCCATAGAGTGCCGAAGTGATGTATTCTGTAGGTCAGCCAGGAAGTTAGCATCACCCTGGTTCCTTTCATTGACTTTTCAATTACTGCAGAAAATAAGGCATTTGAACAACAAAAGTTTCTGAATCTTACATGTTTTGTAACCACCATTAAGCTTCTGACAACTCTTTCGGTCTTTAAAAAAAAAAATATATATATAAATAAGGCATTTGAACAACAAAAGTTTCTGAATCTTACATGTTTTGTAACCACCATTAAGCTTCTGACAACTCTTTCGGTCTTTAAAAAAAAAAATATATATATATATATATATATATATATGAGCTAGCAAAACACTGATTGTGATAAATTTACATTTAACAGTGAAATAATTCAGGAAAATCCTGTAAAATAACAGCATTTTTCTGTAAAATGTTTAATGAAATTTTCTGTACACATTTTTTCACTTTATTATTAATTTTACAATTTTTGTTTGCCAGTCATTTGACCGTTTTTTTTTTTTATTATTTTATTTTATAGTAAAGGTGTGTGATCGTAATAATTCAGGAGATACCTGTAAAACAAATAGTGTTTTTCTGTAAAGCCTTAATTAAAATTTCCCTAAAAGTTGTTTGCACTTTATTTAAATTATGCCAGTCGTTTTTTTGTTTTTTAGTTTATAGTTTGCAAGAGTGAGAAACGCCTTTTTCAAAAAATCAAGAGTGGGGTATTACTAATACTTTATGTCATAGAACAAAATGTGAGAATAGCTTAAGCTTGTGTCCACAGACCTTATTTCAGGCATTTAACCAAAAACCAAAAAAAAACCTATCAACTTCAGGACTATATAGAACCGGAAGTGCTAACATGCTGTCTCATATCCGGGTTTTGGCCTCCTAAAGTCATCATCATCCCTGCAGCACTCTATTGTAGCACATAGTTTGCATCAGTTGCTCCGTGAATTGTTTCATTAGTCCAACTGCAAATGATTCCTCTCTTTTCCACTTTTCTGCAGGATCCCAGAAGCAAGCACAAGTTCAAGATCCACAGCTACGGCAGTCCCACCTTCTGCGACCACTGCGGATCGCTGCTGTACGGCCTCATCCACCAGGGGATGAAATGCGACAGTGAGTGAGAACCTCTCATCATGCCCTTTTGCAATCACGCAAGACCATCTTCTCTTAACCAAATCTTGATGAAACCTGAAACAAAATAAAAAAGAACTGGCTTCAGATCAGTGTGAAAGGGCAGCTCCTACCCCAGCTCTACAAAATTCATCTGTTTCTGCTTTTCTCATCCATAATGTGGTCAAATGTGCTTAGACTTGTATTTTGCATAGATGCCTCCTTTCCTTTGAACCAGAACATTCCTGTTTCTCTTGAGCGCTCTGGCTCTAATGGGAATGTTATCACAGATTTGAACGAGAACAGATTGAAGTAATTTATGTGGGAATAGCAGCATGTTTGTAATTACATTCATGCAATCTGCTCATCCACACCTCTCTGAGATGACACACCACAGAGATTTTCTGTCTCCACATATCAACTTCAGCCTCAGCATGTTACACATACACTTTCTCTGCCATCGGCCTGGTTCTGCTGTCCAACAGCAAAAGCCATATTGATACACCTTTCCAAGTGAAACCCGTAAAAACACTCTGCTGCTTGTGCACAAACATGCTTGTTGTTAACATGAAATTCATCATGTTCACCTTTAAAATACAAATTCAATGTCTTATGTGAACAATTCATCAGTGGATGTTATTCAAAAGAAAAAAAGTCAATACAACAGATCTTTACACGACGAAAACACTTTGTTCCTACAAACATAAAGTGGATGTGGATAAGACATAATGATGCACATATGCACACATTCTTACAAATATTTCCTCGAAAAATCATGTTTTTGTGACAACCAGTCTTACATCCTAAATGGTTCTAGTTTGCGGTCTATGTGTGGCTTCCAGGGGCCTATAGCCATCATTTCAGAAGTGAGGGGGACAGAAATGTTTTTTCTAACATAATTGCTAATTGACAGGTTTTATTTTGTCTTATCTCTTACTTTTAATTGGCTACGAAATCAAATACACTTCTGGACAATAACCAATAATTTGTATTCTATAATGTTTTTTCCTATATTTTCCTAATGACAATTTTATGATTGGTTTGTAAGCTACAAACACTTTTTTTTTTCATTTTTATCACAGAATAAGGCAGTTTATATACTGTAATAAATACTTTGTCAATTAGCACTGCATTATAGCGGAATGCAATTTCTCCCGAAGACAATTTCTTCCAAGGGGGACCCTACCCAAAAGCCATTTCCACCGAGGCTACCTCTAGAAACGTAAATGGCCGGTTGTATGGGTTGCCGACTCTGGCTACAACGATAGCAGGATACCTTTATCCATATTAGGGATTTCCTGGCACATCATAAGTTATTACTTGTATGGGCTGTTTTGGACTTTCTACGACCATGAGTGCTTCTACACTGATTTTATAAAGCCACAACGAGAAAACTTACATGACTCTTGTGTATATAGACAACTTATTACAATTAAATCAATTCCCAGTATATAAAATCAAGCCCTACATACACTGACTGTCCTGTTCTGTTGAATAGACCATGGAAGTAAACTGGGTTGTGAATGTCATTTTATATTGACTTTAATGTGTGTAATCCTGTAGCATTTATAGATGTTTCTCTCTCTTGTTCTCAGCCTGTGACATGAACGTTCATAAACAGTGTGTGATGAACGTGCCAAGTCTGTGCGGGACCGACCACACCGAACGCAGAGGAAGACTCTTCCTCAAGATCGAGGTCAGCGGAGACAGACTCCACGTCACAGGTCAGCATCCCACATGCATTGGGAACATCCCAGAAAAGGATAGACAAAAAATCCCAGCAGGGTAATCACAACAAGTTTTGTATCATCCTGAAAGATTTTATTTTGTCATATGACATGGCTACTTACCAGCTAAATAAACCCAAAGCACACAGAAAAAAACACCTTTCAGACATTCTCAGAGTTTTCTTTCATGTCTTATCATGCTTGACCAGACAAATACACACAAAATATATCAAAATCCCAGTCTTGGCACACAGTCAGTTATGTCTTAAGAAAATCAGATATGTGTCAATATATTGGATCTGTGAATTAGGTCTTAAAGTGACAGCAGCCTAATTTGCCTGCTGCTGTGTTAGCAGACATTGTACTAATATTCTAATGACTGGTAGTTGACATGTAGTTGCAAAGTCACTTATTTAATTTATACAGTGAAGACTATGCAATGTTATTTTATATTTGATTATGTTATTCAATTTCTGTAGTATTTCTTACCTGAATACTACTCTTAAACATACTCTTAAACCTGAAAACCCTAAAGCACTGTTTATTTCTTTTGTGTCTGTGGTCTATAGTATTCTATAGTATTTATTTGTGCTATTGCTTGTTTATTGTTCTTATTTTATCACTGACTCTTTACTTATCTTTAATAATGTTTGAACTTTATATTTGTTAGACTTGTAGTTTTTGCTGTGGTATCAAAATTTTAAAAATATATATTTGTTTGCTTATTTTTTGTTTGTTGTTTGTCAACGCAAGTAAATACTGCAACCACTGGCCCGTAGAGAAAATCCTAAAGGCCAGATTTACTAAACAGAGCAAATTTGTGTGACAGCAATCCCATAAAAGCACTGATAGAGGTGGAAAGTTCTGCAGGTGATCTACTGACAGTGCACAAATTAAAAAACACAGCCACATCATTTCCACAATGACCAACGCAAACTACCAATCAAATTAGCAATTAAATTAGCATAGGGTTGCAAACAAGCAGAGCCGATGATAATCAGGTGCGTGTAATCTACTAACAACACAAGCACAAAATGGGTTAAGACATACTTTTGGGTGTTGGTATTTCGGTATTAAATAATGGTGCAAATACCAGTAAATTGACTACCGCAATCCTTAGTAAATCACCTTGAATGATTTATTTAAATATTCGGTAACACTTTAGTTTAGGGACAGTTCTTACTATTAACTAGTTGCTTATTAGCATGCATATTGGCTGTTTATTAGTACTTTTAAAACACATATTAATACCTTATTCTGCATGAGCATATTTTAGATCCCTTAATCCTACATCATACCTAAACTTAACAACTACCTTACTAACTATTAATAAGCAGCAAATTAGGAGTTTATTGAGACAAAAGTCATAGTTAATAGTTAGTTAGGGCTGCAACTAACGATTATTTTGATAATCGATTAGTTGGTCGATTATTTGTTCGATTAATCGGATTAAAAAAAAAATTTAATAATACTTTTTTAACAAAAAACACACTATTCCACATTCTGCCCAGTGTCCTTCAAACAAACGTGCCAACTGAATGCTATGAAAACATACAGTGCTTAACAATTTGTTAGACCACCTGGCATAATAAAGAGAAAACACATTTTAGGAATTTTAGGAATCTGTCAAAAAATTGTTTATATCAAAAAATGTTATTGTAATTTATTGGGCAAATAAACTTAAACAACTAAATGCTATTTATTCACATAACAAAAATGACCTCCTATGCCCTTCATATAACAGCTTGCATTCTTGCTGGCATTGTTTATGTACTTTTTGACTAATTGTGGGTATCTGAAAAAAAA